TCAGTATCGGTTTGAAATAAAAGGATTAATCTTTGATTGCAAGTTAAGTATTCTATTTTATGCATGAATAATGTTGTTTTGTTGTGCTTTTTATTTATAAATCCAGGCTTCTGTCTTCAGTTTTGCCAGTCGATCCCGTGACACACATTGTGACAAACATGACTTTTTTTGTTATAATCTGCATTTATTGCCAGGCATGAAACCTGTAACTTCAAGCCCCCTAAGATATATTTGGCGATTATATGTGATTCTCAGGATATGATGCTGAAGCGAACATCAAAATCAGTGTCGCTGGGCATGCCAATTTCTTGCCTGGCATGCCAGGTATGCCAAACCAACTGGCTTCACCATAAGCTTCACCATCGGCATGCCCGGCATGCCAAACCAGAGGAGCAAAAACTGGGAATTAATTATCAACCCGGCGAGATATCTGGGACCAAAGTTTAGCTGGGTCAATTTTGGGCTGCGAGGGCATGAACCCATTTTTTCCATGCCTATGAGATGTTATTTCTAAGTACCAATGTTCCCTTGAATTTTGTCATGCCTAAATATATAAAATTTTCCCTCTCTCATTAATCCTCAGACTAGATGCGATTTTTACGCTCGCTAGGCATGTCCACCTGAAAATCATGCCCATACCCTTATTCAAAACAAAATGCTATCAAATTTTAGTTTCCAAGCCGTTCGAGCGAGTTCAATAAAATTGCGAAGATGGTCTCAAAATCCTCAAAACATGGTAAAACCCTGAAGCCATTTCAATGTCCATTTTCAGCGATCGTTATAACTTTTTTAAGTAAGCCTTTCATTGAAATGTGGTAGTTATCGAAAAGATCCAATTAAGTAAAACAACTACTTTTCAGTTGACATTTTCTAACAGAGCGGATGAAAAATCTTGTGTATTTGAAATAAACCCAACAAGTACTTTCGGGTGGAAAAATATCTATCACGACGGGGCTGAAGTTCTGCATAGATTCCTTGCACTATAAGGAATTTAAATCGGAATGGACAAAGGCGATTTGAAAGGTATAAGTTTATTTATACATTTAGCTTACATCGTTTATAAAAACATTCAGCCACATGTAGAAAAACGATCTACGTATGCACATTTCACACGATTAGAAGTTGAACACAGATTTATTATACAGATGACAATACTAATCCATTTTACAGATATACACACGATCGAGTAAAACAGGATATAATAAGAAGTTTGAAAATAAAAGGGAATCGAATATTGACTTTTAAACACAAGCTTAATTTACCATTTTCAAGTTGAAGTTTGCTTCTTCTTTTGGCTTCAGTCGTGGCTTTTTCAAGTCTCTGTTAGTTCGACCAGCTTCTTTCCACAGTTTTGCTGTTTGAAACAGATGCCCCTTCAGCGTACTGTGGTAAACGTATCAGACATAAGACTAATAATGTTTGAGGTGTTTTGGATGTATTGGAAACAGCTATAATCTTCAAATCAGCTGGAATCGCTGTATTTGCTGTGTTGATAACTGGGTATAGCTGAGCCGAGTTTTGCAGTAGGTATGACTGCTGCAGGTATGCCTTTGTGATGACAGCGCCACTGATGAGCCATAGCGATCCCCTCATTAAAGAAATAGATAAAGCATCTGCACTGTTAATCCTGACAGCAAGTGATATCTATCATTATGTCAGATGCGAAATTAATAATAGTAGATGAATTATTAATTTAACAGTGCTATAAATTGAACCAAAGGTAGTAGATTAGGTCTTAGGTTTAATCAGATTGATCAAAGCACACAAGGCACTGATTGACTGAAATAGCAACCGTACGGTGTTTACAAGAATCAAGTTCAAATGTCTCCCTTATATAATTAATAGCGTATATATTAATAAAAAATTGGAGCAAAGACGTTAAAATCTTTAATTACGTTTATGGTAATACATAGATCTTGTTTTAAATAAAAGTAAAAAGTCTGTCTCTTTCTTGTCTTTTTTTCCCTCAGGCACAGGTGATTATTAAGTGTGTTTGTACCTTTCAGTACTTTAGAAAACTATATCTCGTTATATATATATATAAAAAAAGGAAGTTAAAAATAGCCTGTACACAGACGTTGTCTTATTTTTTCTTTTTCCTTCTTTTTTTCGTCTATTTTCTTCTTCCCTCGCCCCTAACCCCTTGTGCTGACGGTCAACAAATCCCCCGCGGTCTTTTGTCACGCATGCTCAACGAACTTCGAAGAGAATATAGAGGGTTTGTGAACAGGTTAAGTTCAAAGTTCTCTGTAGTGTTTTCTTAAGCTCTCTTTTCAATTAACTACGTACTTCTGCCGCTGCTTTCGAATTTTTACAAGTTTAAATCGTCTAAGACTTTGTCTGAACATTGGCATTCTTAAACTGTAAATCAGTGGATTGACGCGGAATTGCACAGATGGTCATGAATTATCGTAAAGACATATTTCACAAATTGGGGAGAAATTTCTGGAGCAAACGTTAGGAACGAGAATAAAGCAATGCTTGAAAAAAGAAGGCAGCAGATGCTCCTGTCATAAGGAACAAAGCTTTGAAAAGTTTCCTTGTGTTTTCCTCAACAATTTGTCGCTGATGTGTTGTACCGATTGAGGAGTTGCTGCTTTTAAATTTTTCTCAAAAAGCCTTAAGTTTGANACTTTAGGAATTTCTGGGTGGGGATGTGCCGCTGGGACCCTGGAACCCTTAACCTTTACCAGAGCTAGTTCAGCTGAATTTTGCTACCCTATACTAGAGTAAACTCCCCAAATCCCCCTATCCTAGAGTAGCTGTTTCCCTTGTCTAGATAAAATCTTCAACCAACTGATCAGTTTCCTGAAAAATGATACCCTATTCTAGAGCCAAACGCTCTGATTTATATACCCTATCCTAGAGTAAACTGCTTGAAAACCATAACCTTCACAGCGGCACATACCTATATAGCCCATATATGGCAGTACCCCCCCCGGGTTCTTAATCATTTGAAGCTATTGGATAAACAGTATTGGATATAAAATGATGTGATTTTTAAGCTTTATAAGTGCATTAAATGTTTACATTGATCGAAGGATAAATTCAGGCTTTAATGTAGCATTCAGTATTGTTAAAAATTGCTTCCGTCTTCTTAGGAGTTAAATTACGAGGAGAAGATGGTTGAACAATTGTTGAACAATTGTTTTTTCGTGCCTGACATAAATTTCAGGCTTCTCCGTTAACTGTGTACCTTCTGGAAGGCCTCTGGAGTTTTATCCTATTTTTCAGTTGTCCTAGAGTTTTCCTAAATATCGGCATTCTAAAACTATATATTATTGGGTTGACAAGAGAATTGGACTGATTTAACATTACGAAAATGTATTTTGAAAAGCCAGCAAAAAGGTTTGGATGAAAACGACTGACAATGTAAAATGACATACTTGGAGCCCAAAGTACAATCGACGCAATGATAACAGCAAAGAAGGTCTTGGAAAGTTTAATGTTTTGTTCCACACATTGTCTGTTTTGGGCTATACTGATGTCGCGATTTCTGTTGTTGAGTCTTTTCCGGATTGAGAGATAAGAGACGCAGATCGTTGCCACTGAGAAATAAATCATAACTCCACCACTGACTTCACTATACTCAATTTTGATGGCATGATATAGGACTAAAAAGCCCAATGCACCTTGAGTAGCCCCAGCTAACCATACGATAACCACACTGTAGATGTAAACCTTGATGCTTGCTACTCGATGTCGGAGCGGCCAAATCAAAGCGAAGGCTCGTTCCAGAGAAATGAGTACAAGAAAATACACGGATAAACATGAAAAGGTGGAGTGAAGTATCAATGATATAGCATAGAAAGTATAGCAAATGATTTTGTTGAAACTTGTATGTCGCGGAAAGGCAAATACCCAAATCACGGTCAGTATTCCAGTGAATCCAACAAAAAGATCGGCAAATGCCAAGTTAATAGCAAGTAAAAATGTTCGTTTCAGCTTCTTGCGATGAATCCAGAAAACAAATGTAGTGAACATGTTGGCAATAAGAATGGCGACTGGCAGAACAATGAGAATACACAAAAACACTATGTCAGTGGTATCAAAGTCAACTGAGAGTAATGAATGACTTGAAATGAATGTTAGACTTGATTCTTTACTGGCAGGTTGAGAGACGGTAAGATTCGGTTTATACTTCATCTCCGATGGCGCTAATAGTTGTGAAGTAAAAAAAAATGTTGACTTGGACCTTGGAAGAGTTTTCCAAAAGAAGTAATTAATTTTTAATCGGGTTGTGCAATAGTCTTTTTTTTAATATCCGCTGTGTTATTGTCTATCCATTTGAAAACAAACATACCCATCAACAGGATACAAAAATACCTTAATTAATTCATCTTTCAAAAGATAATATTAAGTCATTTTTTTTTAATGGAATAACGAAAAGCATCGTAATATTATTAATTTCTTATGAAGTAGCACAAAAGTTTAGCCCGATAGCCCACTAAGAAAAAAAAACGAACAGCAATTTTAGTTTAAGATTCAATTACATATCACTTTTGAAAACAAACCTTGAGAATAATTTGAAATCGGTGAACTCAGGGTTCCCTTGATGACTTGCTTTTGTTGTAGAACATGTATACAGTGATTGGTGGATTCACAACATTTAGTGTGAGATTCAGGGTAGATAATGAAATTGAAGGCTTTCGACTGGAGTACTCTTATCAATCAGTTTCTTGTTCCCTATCAAGTTGCCCTTATTTGAAAGATAAAGGTCCAAGCAAACACCTGGTTTGTAAGTAAATTTCCTGTGTATAATAAACATTGTAGTTTTTTTTGTTTATCTAGTAAATGGAACGAAGTCAATCCTCATATCTTCACTTTAACGAAATTTAATTAAAAATTAAAAAGTGATGATATTTTAAAGGAGATTTTGTAAGACATCAAAAAGGTTTCTTTTCGGGGAGAATATTTTATGAATTTTAGTACAATTTAACCTCAAATAAACCACAATAAATCATAGTAAATCTCTATGCTCCGGGGTCTGAAAGGTACAGTGTTTGTGTTAGCATATTTTGGTAGCACCGCATGCGCAGTGAATGGTTTGAACTCAGGAGTCATGTCAACCAACACAAGTAAAGTAAACACCTGCGAATAAGACTGAAGTCTGTTAAAATAGGTTCTTGGATTTTGGCGTACTTATTGGCAAAGTGTGATAGATCGTTGATTACCAGAAAAAACAAACTTGGGTTTGGTCGAAATACAGTATTTATTCATAATTCTAATTATCATAACCCTAACAAATACAAATTTATAAACATTAAATGTTCTTTTATACTTAAATTTACAAACTCAAAGTTACATTCCTTGATTATCATAATTTAACTGTAACCCACATATAATAATCTTTAATTTTCCTGGTGAGCGTAGTCCTGAATAGGACTGTTGTTAACAGTGGCTGATGTTTCGTCAACCTGTGCTGTAGCTATCTTCAGGGTCAGGGTTAGTTGATGATATCCGAGGTCCCGATGTTATTGGTCGTTTGTCAGTTCAGCCGTGATGTTTTCGGCTGAGTGGTATAGTAGGGATGTTTTTCGGCGTTGTTTGAGGGGCAATCTCATTAATAGAGCGGTGTTACGAAATTGTTCAGGATTTTAATTTCACCCAATTTTTTGTGGCAGTCACTGCCACAGCCATCCCATAGTTCATTTTTGTTTCATTTTTGTTGCTCCGGGGTCTGAAAGGTACAGTGTTTGTGTTAGCATATTTTGGTAGCACCGCATTTTTGTTGTTTGTAAGGCCGTTCGATATAATGCTTGCGAGACATATTTGTTTGACAGGTAGCTCTGATTTAGTCATTTACAAGTAATTTCCAAAATTTCATAGCGATTAAGCAGGCGTATACCCCGAGGGTGGCAGCTTAATGGCGGTTCAACTGTATGTTTATATATGAATTCTGGTCTTACTAGTAAAAAGACGTCATCCTGCAATTTGCCTATTGGCATTATAAACAAAATGAATTAGCCATCCCAGAGACAGCCCCTTTCATTCAATTGAGGTGAAATGCATTAACGCAGATGACGCCATAGCCGGTTGTCGTTATCTCATAATCAAAATTCATTTTGCTCCACCATTCAGTTATTTCGCTCTTCCTCATACCTTTCTATCTTTCCTCCACCACTACCAACACCCCCATCACCTCCACCACCACCACCACCACCACACATTTTCCTTTTTTTCTCTTCACAACTACCACGTTTCTCCCTCCACCGCTACTACCACCCCCACCACCACCACCACATTTCTACTGTTTTTCCGTCCACCGCCAATACCACTTTCTACTGTTTTTCTTCCTCTTCATTTGTATTTTAGGATCGATTTAGGGTCCATATGGGTACAATGAATAGTCCTCTAAACAAATGCGACGCAATTTTTTCAAAGCAGTATTTAGTTTCATGAATGTCATAAATAATAGACGACATGTCTATTATATATATCTTCTATTCGAAGAAGGCCGAAAGATGTACAAAGAAGAGAACTTTAATTGAGACGGTGATCTAAAAATAGATAGAGAACTTCCCTTATCTATCACAGTCTCAAAAATAAACATCTTGTCCACTTACTCAATACAGGCAATTTTACTCATAGAGCTAGGTGTACGATAGTGGATCTCGTTCCAAGTAACTTAAGCACAGTTCTTCTTTCTATAGTACTGAGCAAAGATTTCAGCTGCTCCGCTGAAAACGACGCCGGTGATGACGTGTACAGTCGAACGTCCATGTGCGACCACCTCCCATAAGCGACCACCTTCCCAAAACACCAAAAATAGTCTAAGTCAAAGCCTTATACCGGAACCTCTTGTTAACGACAACCTCCAGTAAGCGACCGCGACCGCGACCACTTTTTCGGGCTGACAGTTTTAGAATTCTCTATTGTTTTTAACCTCCGGTAAGCGACCACTTGACGGATGGTCTTATCTTTTGCGGGTGAAAATTGGATGACGGGACATCAGGTAAAGTGAAATAATCAAGGTGAATCTCTTCATGGCAGTGAGGTAGATGGTGAGTGCCTGGGAGGAAGTCGAGCCAGGTGTAATTGTTAAATGTTTTAAACATGTTGGCATGTACCCAGAAGAGAAGGACAACAGTTTCGAAGATGAGGATCCATTTGCTGGAGAGGATCTCCTAGACTTGGACGAGATGGTTAGGGAAGTTTCTGGAGACGCAACAATTGACACGTTGACGTATGTTACTGTTGTGGATTATGATTCTCCCCGCTACATGGCTCCTTTGGATAAATACTGATCCAAACTGGAGAAAAAACCTACGCGAAGAGATCATTGAGAAGCATACCTTCACGTTAGAGATCACTGAGATCAGAGTGACGGGGAAGAGAATTACATTCCTTCTTTTTAGACGGATTAAAAAGATAATTTTAACTTCGAAGCTGCAATTACAAAGCCTGTATTGATCGTTCGAGTCAGTTGGGATTTCTGCATCCCGCCGTCCCGGCGGTGCGTCTGTTGAGGGGAGTAAAAAGAAGAATGAGAGTAAAGTTTGGTCTAATTTGTACGGTGATTTGATTTACACAAAACCTGGTAAACCAGAGTTTTCTATTAGTGACAAAGTTAGAATTTCAAAGTATAAAAGACAAGTATTCGATAAGGGTTACACACCAAACTGACAAATTAAATGAAATCTGAATGAGATCGACGAAATCTGAAAAAAGTGCGAATTCACTTTTTAAATAACGTTTTCAGTTTGTTGCCATCCATAAGTTTTGCTTCCACAGCAGCGTGACGTAACGACTTCTCTCTATTGTCTGTAAAGGCAAATCTATTGGGTGGCAATTCGCATCAGCCGGCAGCAGACCATATTCTCGAGCGATTTGAGATTTTTGGTTCAATGGTTTGATGGTTTAATTGTTCAATCTGTGATTGCAGCGTTGTGCAGTCAGCGGTTTAAGCAAGTGCTTAGCTGCCGCGCCCCTTTGTCTCTTAGGAGCAACCTGCCATTTTGTTTTGTTCTCGTGTGTGTAGAAATCGTAGTCCATCGGATGTTTACTGTCTTTTTAAACGGCCTAAATGGTTAGAACAGTTCAAGAAGTATTGTACGGAACATTTCTTTGGTTTACCTTTTTATTCTCGTTTAGTTATAGCGAGTATTCTTTTGTCACACACAGATTGTTATCTCGAGAATCAGGATTGTAATGCATCAGTCAATTCCAGCTGCCCCCAGCCCCACCCCCCCGGGCTACTGCGGGGCATTTGCCCGCCTTGTCAGTCTCGGGGGTGGGGAGTTTGCAAATTTTGCGCTGCCCGGGGGCTGGGCATTCGCCAACCCCAAGCTTTTGACACGCACGCGGTTTCCTATCAGAATACAACTGCACAAATGATTTTACTGGAAAAACTAGGGGATTGGCTTATTTGTCAAGGACGGGAAACAATTGAAGAGGTTTGTAAAGGCATGTTCTCGATTTTATGCGTGCATTTCTTCATTGCTTATCAAACCAGAATTACAGGGAGATGGAGCTATCGACGTGAATCAACGGTTATTGAATCAAATTTCTGTTGAGTATTATTTCAAGAACATCCTTTCATATTTTTAAAACTATTCATAACAGTTAACTTTACAGCGCACTATAGACCTTGTCACGGTTTTCGACGCCATCTTGACGAGTAGGCAAACGCGTGAGAAATTACAGTGTTTGTATGAGAATCTAATGTCGAATAATTTCCGTAAAACGGCTGTTCTGAACAAAATATCAATTGTAAACTAAAGCTACAAAGCAAAGGATTGTCCTAAAAAAAATTGGGGGGCGTCCCTGTGCTTAAATTTCTCCAGAGGCTTTCTTTAGATTTTCCATATATTTGTCTGTAATTTTGCCAGGACTTTCTTACAGACAAATGTATAGAAAATTTTAAAAAATGGTTCTAGGTCTTCTAGTGCTTGTAACTCCCTCAAAATTTTTCAGGAGAATCCTTAGGAGTGAAGCTTGGTTTACAAATCATATTTTTTTCAGAACAGCCGTTCCAAGGAGATTATTCGACATTATATTCTCATACAAACACTGTA